TATCTTACGATAAAGTGCAACATACCATGACACGTGGCGACTACAGTAGCTCTGGCTTTTTTCTTTCCTCTCTCTGCGTCTGTGTGTCTATCTATACCATCCAATGGAACTCAAGAGTCGAGGCATCAGCCACATACTTGGCTGAGGCAATATGGCCGACACCAGTATTGGTTTTCCATCACGTTCCATCATCCACTTCCTTGGCGCGACCTCAAACTCGCAGCCGTGCCTGTCACCTCGTCTGCACCCTTCATTTAATCTCGCTCTCTCTTCATGTCTGCCCCAACTGTCAACATGAACCTTCTTTGCCGCATCCCAAGACTAGCTCATGAAGGGCACCTGCGCCAGTCTATCTTCAAAGCCGACGACATCTTCCTGCGCTTCCAGTGGTACGCCCTACCAGGAATTCACATGTTTGGCAGCTTCTCTGCTTCATGATTTGCTGTGACCCTGACTATGTGCTTTTCGTGCACACGTTTGCAGCTGGTGGCAGGTATTGGGCTTGAATTTCACCGGCTGCATCAAGATAAGCAGAAAAACTAAAAGATAACATGGTTGCTAGGCTTTGGAGATATACCATTGCATAATTGCGTGATTGTATGAGGACATTCAGGCATATTGGTACTAATTTTCAAAACCTCTATAGCAATAAGTCTCCTCTGTCGCCACAAGGAATCTGGCCGCGCCGATGGCTACATGAGGCGTGGACTTGCCTTGGGCATGGATGTGGGGTCAGACTTCTCCATCGTGCTGCATGCTCTTTCGGGGCGTTCTGAGAGACCCTGGCCTGGCTCCATGGCCTCTAGATCGTGTGAGATGGCGACCGAAGCTCGTGAGCTCAGGCACCGGCGGCTTGGACACGCGGGCAGCGCGAATCTGTATGAATGCGGCAGATACCTTCCAAGTATCGATGCAGTCCGTTGAGGTGACGTTCAAGGTTTCAACCGCCTATATGGGCTGCTGGATTGAGGTTTGCAGGCTGGTCTGTTTTCCAGCGGCTTCAAGGCGTCGACCCTTTTGTGACTCTCAAGACAATTCGTTGTGCAGGAAGACTTGTTGGGCTGAACATGAACCTACCGTAAGTTGTCACCGAAGGTTTGGCAGAACTTTGCAAACTCAATGGGCATTGTTTCACCAAGAACATCGACAAGACTGCAGGTCCTGCAGTCCTCAGCAGGTCCAACAATTCATACGCCTTGGGTTCGTAACGCATCTTTGATGGCCCGAAAAGGAAGCCGCAGAGGAGCATGCGATTGAGCAGTGAACAGATGCTTGGGATGCAGAGCAGACCGACAGCAACAGCACAAATAAGGCTACGCTGCAGGCAAGGGGAAGTCGGCAGCCAGAAGCGAATCAATTACACATTGAAGCCTCGTAACGTAGCTGGACCATTGACTTGTACAGCGGTGGGAACCACACACAACAGCCCTGTGCAAGCCAATGCTTCGCCCAGATTGCCCGCGATGCTCTGCAGAGATCATGCTGGCAGAGCAGCTGTTGCCCCAAACCCGACTATTAAAACGTGACCTGTGCAGTTGTGCATCAGGTAGCCTTGAAAGAAAGCAGGAGGCCGTCAAGACTTCGTGAAAGCAGCACACCCGCAGAAACCGTCGGTGCATGTTTTTCATGTACCGAATTAAAGATTCAAAGTGGCACATGTCCCAAGGCCACAGCCGCACACGCAGTGTACTGTTACACAGACATATGACTCAAGGCATAAAAAAGACGTACACTGGAAATCCGAGGCCATCTAAAGCCTTCCTCTCCCAACGGCAGCCTACTCCCAAGGGCAGGTTGGTTCGTGGATGTACCTTGGCCTCACGCAGAAACGTTCGGCCGTTCGAAATCTGGATAGACCCTTCGCCCCAGCCCTCAGGTTTGCCATTTTTGAAGTTCTCTCCACACAGCCTTAGCTGGTCAGCACGGGCATCACTGAGCTCTGAGGATCCTGCAGTGTACTTCGTCACCCAATCATCTTGGTAAATGTTCGAAGTAGTGCAGCAAATAACATAACCCTCTTCATGACGTTCTTTCACAGCCCGAAGCCAATGACAACACCAACAGGGGTGTTTAGAACCAACTGTAGGCTCAAGATCGCTGATCCTAGACTCCAGCATGGTATTCCACATCGGATGGCGGTCATGTTTTGGCGGTACCTCCACATTGTCGCGGCCACACTCTTCACTTGGATGCAGCCAGCATCCGGAGTCAGCACTGATTCCAAACACAGGGATGCCATCGAACCAAACTGTTGCAGCACTTCCCTGGTCCTCTCGTAGTTTGGCGATGACCAGATCGTATGCATTGCCTCCAGGTATCGAGGCCCCGCTAGTCTTTAAATAGCGCCGCATATCTTGGAAGCAGTCATAGGAATGATAATAGGTGAATATTAGTCCATTCCCTGCGGCTTCCTGGCACTTCTGGACGAAAGCTTCATCAGCAGAGAGGTTGTCTGCGGCGAGTTTCACCAGCCAAGAAGCTCGAGTCTCACGGACTGCATCCAAGACGAAATTCCTGTCACATCTTAAGCGCTTCGAGGCATGCTTGAGGGCCACGCCGTTGTTGCGAATGGCAGCCAACACAGCGTGTGCATCGTTCTGTAGCTCCGGCGACGCATACTCAAGGGCCATACCGTTAGTCTCAACAGCTGCCAAGACGACTTCTCTGTCCTCCTTGAACTGCGTGAACTGCAAGGCCTCGCCATTCTGTCGGACAGCGGCTAGAACGATCTCTTTGTCCTCCTGAAACTCTTTGAAGGCGAACTTCAAGGCTCGCCCGTCCTGTCGGACTGCAGCCAGGACGACATTCTTCTCTCTGGCTGCTTGCTTATGCACGAATTTCAATGCGTAGCCCCTCGACGAAACTGCAGTCTCCACAATGTACTTGTCTTGCTGCAATGATGGCGAAGCAAACTGTATCGCAAAACCGTTCTGCTGGACAGCCCAAAAAACGACCTCGCCGTCGCCTCGAAGCTTTGCGCTCGCATATCGCAAGGCGCAGCCATTTTGTTTCACTGCCCGCGTGACTATCTCCTTGTCTAGCTTCATGGCATCTACTAGGTGTTGCAATGCGCAGCCACGATGGCCGACTGAATCCAAGACACACTCCTTGTTGGTCTGCAAATTTTCAGGCAGGAACTGAATGGCGAACATTTCGGGACCGTCGAAATTCGGCATATCTGCAGCGCGCTGCAACGACGTATCGGCTGCTGCAACGATGTCCTTGTTTTGGAGGACGTTTTCCGGTGCGTACTCCAGGAGACAGCCATTTATCTCCACTCCAAGCATGAAGAAGTTTTGATCGTGAAGCAGTCGTTCGTCTGCAAACTGAATTGCTTTGTAGTCGGCTGAGAGTGCAGTGAGCACAATATCTTGCTTGCGTTTAAGGCCCTCAGATGCAAACTCTAAGGCAATGCCAGTTTTGCGGACCGCTTCCATCACACATTCAGTGTCTTCTTGCATTTCTTTCGGAGCGAACTGCAATGCAAGTCCGTCCTGCAGAACTGCTGCCATGACAATCTCGCGATTCACCCGTAGGTTTTCCGGTGCAAACTCTAATGCCAAGCCGTGCTGACTGACTGCATCTGTGACAATGTCTTTGTCGTTTCGCAGCTCCTCCGATGCAAAACGTAAGGCGCATGCACCTTGCCTGGCAGCGGCTACAAAAATCTCTCTGTCTCCTTGCAGTTGGAAGAATGCGAACTTCAAGGCAAAGGCATCCTGACTAACAGCGGCCAGCACAACTTCTCTGTCCCTCTGTAAAGCTTGGGAGGCAAACTGCAGTGCACGTCCGTTCTGGGTGACTGCAGCGAGAACCACGCTCTTGTTTGCACACATTCGCTTCAAGCTGTATTCCAGAGTCATGCCATTGTGTTGGACGGCGGCCATGACAATTTCATCATTTCCCTGATGGAGGGGGGCGTACTGCAAAACCTTGGAGTTTTCCTGGACTGCACTGAGGACGAACTTTGCATCCTTCCGCAACCTTGAGGAAACATACTGAAAAGCCGAGTAGTTTAAACGGACTGCGGCCATAGCAAACTCCACATTGTTTTTTAGGTTCTTGGATGCGAAGTCCATAGCGGTCTCGAGATTCTGCTGGGCTGCTGCCAATATGATGCGCTGGCAGTTCCTGCACTCTTCCGCAGCAAAGTGCAGGGCTTGCCAGTTGTTGAGAACCGCATCAAGCACAATGCTTTCGTCGCTTCTCAGCTCCTCCCCAGCATATTCTAGTGCACGGCCATTCTGCTGGACTGCAGATCTTACAATTTCTGTGTCCAGTGCCAGCTGCTCGTCTGCGAACTCCAGGGCAGTGCCGTCTTGCTTGACCGCTCGACGGACGATTTCCCTGTCCTTTCGTACGGTCTCGGAGGCAAATTGCAATGCTTGCGGGTCTTGCCCCACTGCTAGCCAAACAACGTCCCTGTCATTTCTGAGCTCTGCTGGTGCATCGCCAAGTGACATTCCATCTTCGCGAACCATACGCATGAGAGCCGGTTTCACTGACAGCACGTCAAGCCGTGGCTCGACCGGTTCACTGGCCTCGCTCTCAAGAGGTGGCAGGGATCTTCGCTTTGCACGTGCATGCTTACCTACTTGCCTTGCAACATCCCAAGAACCGCGGCGCGCGGTCGACGGGCCATCCCATGAACTGCGTCGTGCATCAGCCGACGCCATTATAACCAGAAAACAGAGAGTTGGATTCTTCTTAGAAAGAGCTGTCTTTTGCGCTGCTTCTTATGCTTCCTGGGTCGTTGGCATGGAGTCGTGGGCCAGGCTAGAGCCAGTGCCTTCAAACGGAGGCAGGGGTTTAAGCCTTTGAAAGGACACAGCCCGAGAGGAAGCATAAAAGGGGGCTCCTCAATGCCAACGTACCAAAACCTGTGGAACTTTTGGTCGCGGCAAATAATCCGTTTGGCATGTAAGCCGAGGCAAAACACCTCGCAAGTCGAGGCGCCAGGCACAAGCTGCCTGACTACTCACCCTCGAATTATTTGACATCTACCGAGGCCCAGGGCTTTTAAGACAGGCTCCCGGCCTAGACTTCCAGGCTGGGAAGTCTGTCGGAAGAGGCAGCTCTATCATGGTGTACTGGGCACAGAGCCTCCGCAACATGACAAGGCTGAATCGACAAGGCTGAATTGACAAGACTGCACGGGCTAAACGTGGCCGTGCTGGGTCTCTTGCGTAACGTCGCTCCACCGCTGGGGCATGGTAAAGCCATGGTAGAGCAAATAATCTGCCTGCGACACAAGGACATCGTTGCCTGCTTTTGCGTTCTGGTGCCCTTGGCGCGGCAACTGAGATCCAGGCATTGGAACGAACACCGTAGCCCACGGTAACGGCCTCGACCGCGCAGGTCTTTAAATTCCATGTCGGACAAGGAGCAAATCGCCAGAAACTTATCGCCAAAGAGAAATCGCTCATAGCCAGGCCCGACCCAGTTGCCGATGGCACAAAACGGCCGAAGCACACTCTGGATGCGTCATCAATGTCACTACCCCTCCTGCTGTTGCCATATAAGTTGGCAATGTTAGTATAGTGCCTCCTAAACCATACTACAGTATATCAGTATTTGCTACGAGCTGTCACTGCCCGCTCTGGGCTGCCAGGCTGTGTTGGCTGGCAAAACCTCCTTAGCCTTCAGCGTCACTGCTGCAGAGTCGGCATCCTGGGCTTCGTTTCCAGGTTTCATGAGTTTCATGAGCTTGTGTATGATTTCTTATGTAAGCATACACTATGAGTAGAATATTAGATTATGCTATAAGTTCGAATATTATACGTGTGATAATACATTACACTATACTTATATGATTTAAATCACATATACCGGGCCCATATTTGCAACATTGCTGTCTTCGTTTTTTGATTTACACTAGATTACACCCCATTAGGCATGAACCGTAATGTCCTTATCTCCAGGTGTGTGTGTGTATATATATATATACATAAAGAATATATGTATTTACAGTCAGACACACACACGTATAGACTGATGCTTCTCAAAGATTAATTCAAAGAGTTCCAGCCTAAGTATCGAAAATGGCTTTTGGGCAGGAGGCTTGAACCACTTGGTTCAGGCAGGTCTAGGCCCCCAGGCCCCAAAACTACCGCCGCTAGCTCTGGCCCCGGCGCACGCACAAAAAACAAACATGGCCGGAAGGAGGGGGTGCAAAAACAACCGGAATTCTTTCAGCCAGACTTTTTCTGTTGCGCCCTCCCCTCGCCCAAGGCCAGAGCTAGCCGTAGAATTGTGGGCGGCGGGGATCTATTCAGGACCACGTGCCCTATACCCCTTCACACTTTTACCACAAGGAAGTATGTATTCTATAGAAACATATGAAACAATACGAACTAACCAAATGATGTTATATACAAGATCCCTGTTATCGGACACGCGGTGCATGTAGTGACGTTGATATCTTAAACTACAAGTTACAAAGATTAACTATGGCTGAGATACACACCGTATGATAAGGAGATTTCGCATTAAAACACCTTTCCGTATCAATGGATACGAGTTCACAACATTTCACCATTTGAGCCACATCAAGCTGGCAGCATATTAAATAGCTTCTACTAATGAAGTGCTTATAATAGTGCATGAATCCCATATCAGATGTTGAATATAGGGCCATGCATATGGGAGCTCGAGAGTTCCGTGTCTGTGATGCTCGATCAACATGACAGGATTCATAGGGGAATCTCTCACCATTTAACAGGGGGAAATCCGCGGGATTTTCTGTGCCAGTAGGATCAGATACTTGTAGGGATCTGAATATCATCGTGTAAAAACTTACGAAGGCACTCCATATTCATACTGGATGCGCGTGGTATTTCACAAGCATGCCATCGCTAGTTAACAATTACTCATATGAGCTATGCCCATTATGCGCGCAAGAACATGAGACACTTGTCAATATGCAACATGAATGGCTAGGGCTACGGGAGGCTCATGTAAGATCGGCAAACTCGCGGAATGCATGAAGATCTCAGTGTCAATCTAACTTCAAGGTTACATACCACAAGCTGCTGTCTGCATCTTGCGACATATTCATACCAAGCCATGACTGTTGTAGTTGCATACGAACACAGCTTTACTTGGGAATATGGCCACAGGCTGTCAAGAGGGTTTTGCCGAGGGGGTTGGCCACATGTGGTGCAAGCCCTCTTGCCCATGCGGTCGCAGGGAAAGTTTCGGGGGGAGCCTGTATAATGTAAAGCATGTGACAAGAACGACTATTATAATGGTCTGTATGTGCATGAAATGCTGGAAAGAGTCGCCTGCTATATGGCGACATGGCCATGTACCACACATGAAGCTCCATTTACATTAAACGCGCCCGGAACGGCATCTGATACAAATGGTGGGGGCAGCCCCATGATGACTGCTCCATTACGATTGCCAATATTGGCACCGGGCCTCTCTGATGCAGGCAGTGCGCTTGTAAGCCGCATCATCTCAATATGGTCATGGTAAAGCCCGCGACAAATCTTTACTGTTAATATTATGGATTTCTCGCCACATCATTTCATCCACGAATCCATATGAACTCTGCTTAGCACATTCTCAACTCTTTAGAGAGGGACATGATCCCAACATTGCCCATCTCTTGTGGCGGCACAGCTAAGCAGAATAACAGTGCACATGGGCAAGGTATTTCTCCTGGAATTGATTGGGGTCGTACGTTCATACATATATAGATATATGCATGATTCATACCTATATAGATATATGCATGAAAACGCGATGTGTTTGCATGGCAGTCACCTTATGACCACAAGGGGTGAACAAGCACATATCAACAAATGCTTCATGTTGCAGATAGATCTGCAGAGGTCTCCATACACCACAATGGTAGCAAATACCATCTCCTTGCAATCTGGTTTGGCTATTTCCTGACCCTTCCTATAAAGATATTGGGACTCATGGGCTTCGACCGAATTGATCGCTATTCCTGGTCCTTTTTTGATTAACATTGTAGCTTTCAGGATTCGTACAACAACCTCCATATGATGATTGCCTGTGTAGGTTGTAAAGTTGTGAGCTATGTGGCATGGCCTGTGTGTGGGAACCTCATATATTTACAACGAGCAGCTCTTTACGCAGGGCTCCAGGCGCGAGAAACTTGTTGGACTGGGAAGCCCCGGAAGGGAAGATCCAGAGCAACACTGACTGCGCAAGATGACAAGCCTCTGAGCAAGCCTTTTCCAAACAAGCTAACATTCGTACGAAACATTGTGTGGGAATTGGAGGCAGCAAAGACTTAGACATTACTACGGTATACACATGGATCCGATAACACGATTCAACTGGTCGCCTGCATGTAACTTTAAAGGATGGGAACTGCCTGGGTAGCTTGCTTGTATTTTGTCCTGCTTTACTGTTCATGTGCTACAAGACATTCCGGAAGTCTATATTCAAAATCACGTGCTACCAAGTTCATGGTTTGTGCTAGACTATGCAGAGGGGTAATGCAAAAAAAGCGAGATACATATGCGGTTCTTGATGTTGAAATGTAAGGGTTAGATTGACCGGTGCCATGCATCATTCAGGGGTCAAGACAAGCAAGGCTTTGCCGACAAATTGTAGGAGTCCCATCTTCAAGAGTATATGCTATAGGGCATGTAGATAGAACAACCACAGGATTGACGCGGGATAGATGCACCGGAAGGTACCCATGAGAACTCCAAAAATGGAAGTTAGTTTCGAAGCATATGCCGCACTGAATGGGCGCCCGTATCAGGCAGGGTTACACAGCATTGAGAACCGTGTTTATGCAGACTATTCCTACCATAGGTTTCAATAACGAAAATTCATGGGAAACAGCGTTTTGGCTGGAAAATATGGGGTCCGTTATGTGTTACGCTCTCAACACACAAAATATCACATTACATGATGTTATATTTTACTACGTTGATAATATATTCTGCCATATTATGTTTTTATATCACAATATACTGTGTCATATTAAACTACGGTATGTTATTTTTGGCTCCCACTTGGCACCGGTATGTTATGCTACACTATATTACAGTATGTTTTGCAATAATATATATATGTATTTATTTATATAGTTTGTTTTAGGTGTGTATGCATGCGTGAGCTCTGTGTGTGTATACGTATCTACACACTATCTTCTTTTGTTCCTGCTATTGTTTCATGCGTTTATGTACTTTCTAACATTTCGTATGGGTAGAACCGTGGTTTCGGGACGTGTGCCAATGCAGTCTGCGAGTGCGGAGGCCAGAATCTCAGTTCCAGCATCAACAAAGAATCCAACCCATCTCATCTGTGCTGTAGGCTGCCCGGCGTATGAGATGTTCGTTCTTGATCCTCGTTCCTGCCGTCAATGCGGGACTCTCAACCTCCGAAACCTCGCGCTCAAATCACAACACAACCTGCAACACCCGCGCGGGATCATGACATGCTACTTATGTTCTACTGTCATTAGCCTCAGTATTCTATTACTACAAGCATCCTGGGGCTGCTGATGTCTTCGTTTATCCCAATGCCACAATGACCACAACTAACTAACACCAGAATGGCCTCAGGAACTTGGATATATCATGCAGGGTCGCCAAATGTACAATATCATCAAGCAAGGCAGAAAAATACAATGTTATCATACAAGCTAACTTGTTGTATGCTTCCAGTGCCAATAGTGATCGAACTTCTGCAATCGAAAGATTTCGCCAACTGTTTCTATTCTCGCGACTATTCCCCACTCACCCATTGCCGCGGATGACCGAGGTTTCTTCGAAGATCGGACCTGGAACTTGGTCAGGTCGTCGTAGGAGTGTAGAGCTTCCCTGCATCCACATGCGGCTTGCAATTCGAGCAAAGCCGCATTTCCGGACAAATTGACTCAACATGCGCCGGTGAAGATGACAAGATCAATTGTGGCGGGACCGTATGACCACGGCAATGGCAAGTGTGGCTTTGGGTTTAATGTTTCCTGATATTATTACAAGTATCTGTATTGACGGTATGCGCCAGTACAAGTAGCACCTGTCTTGTGTCTTGTGCATGTGAGCATCTGCTGCCAAGTAGCTCCGGCATCGGCAGATGGTGGTCGACCAAATCAATGAGCGGCCTGGAATGGGAGCATGCTCGCCCTCGGCCAAATAAGAAATCGTGCCCCGAGAAAGGATAACATGTACTACCCTTCTGCTCTACCGCTCTCCCCGTCTGCAGGCTGTCTAAATGAAACAAGCGTTACGCAAATGCATAAGCATTCCCTTGCCGGCTTTTCGCATGCAGATCCGAATGCTCGGCCAACTGAGCTGTGAGCATGATTGCCAGCTGCGGAGAGGTTTGGCCTCGTCAAGTTGCGCCCCAGGTATTGTTGCCACTAAGGCGCGAATTATGTTTTCGTCGGCTTGACGCCTGCGCGGTGCCAGTCTACCTACACGATACCGCAGGAAGGGAAGCTACAACGAGCCAAGCTATGATTTCGCACAGTTCCATGACCTGGACATGGATAGCGAATGAATTGATCTCTGCCTTCTCGGCGAACCATGTGGGATAAAGTATCCAAGCTTCAAGACAAAAGCTGAACTCGTCGTGTAACTCGTCTCGTGGTGCACGACCATCATGGTCGAGGGATGTGAACGGATGCTAGCTGCCAGTGCATGAGAACATTTACGACAACTCAGACGTGATGCGGTGTCATGATTCAGAGACAGCTGTGTTCATCACAGCTTTGAAGAGCTGTTTAGGGTGTGGAACTCTGATTCGCCCTCTCATCGCTTGTTGCAGCGTTACAGGCTCTGCCCCAAGGTTAGCACTCCAAAAGACCCAATGCAGCCGTGTGGCTCTTGTTGTCGCGGTCCGGTAGATTAACAGTCTCGCCACGTGACATGACCACCATCGCCCATTTTTTGAACCTGAGTCGTGACTGGTGGCAACGACAGTTAGCTGACTACAGGTACAAGCATTTCGGCGTCACCGCGAACAAGCGGACATCGAAACGCAGGGAGCTCATGTTCTATGGCTGTCTCTTTTTCCTCTCCAGGCTCTGCCATCTCTTGAAGCTGTCGTATTCTCTGGCCGAAATCAATATCATCCAGAATCCACGGCAGCTCCTCAGCGACCCAGTAGATGCGTTTACAGCTATTGCAGAACAGCAGGCAGACATGTGCTCACTTCCGCCCCTTTGCAACCCAACCGATGACACAGCCCATTTGCTGGGCATAGTCTTCCCGCACCCGCCTATCGAGATGAGCCCAGGCTCTTTGTCGACGACGCCGTCTGGGATACTGCCGGAGAGCTGCTGCTTCACTTTGGCGGAGATGTGAGTGAAATTCGATCTCAAGGCACAGTCGTCACGAGGCATTGGAAACAAACATGGCGAAGGCTTGCACCAACATCTTCAATATAACAGTGTCAGCAAAAGAAAGCACGACTTAAGTCACGGCGAAAACGTCAGAATCATCAAGCTTGAGAATCACTGAGACCACAATTTCCTTTGCAAACTTACGCTAGTGCAACTCCTTGAGCTGCGATACCGCCGTCGCGGCGCTGGTGAGGGTCTGGGCGCCGTGTGCGCCAGCACGGTTGGAACTCCTGCTTTACATCAGCAACATAGACAAGCCAACTGTACCAGGAACAAACAAACTCTGTGCTGGGCAGCTTGGCAGTGTGATGCGGCAATGCCATGCAGCCTGCGGTGTCTTTGGGCAGCACGTCAATGTCGATCTTAAACAACGACGCGCATGCCGTCCGCAGGAAGTTTCTGTGAGCCTCCAACTACCAAAGACAAGGCCAAGGACCGTGCATTGGGATTCTATGCAGATTTTATCGGGACGTGTAAAGATTCCTGGCGGCATTGACTGCACAACTGCGTTACGACGAGGCTTAGAGAGTCTACGGAATGGATCGCGTTTAGCATACGTAATCGCTCGTCTACTGCTGTCGTACGCAAACCCCAGCCACCTGGGGCTTTGAAGCCGGTCGTAGTTGCAGGCCTTGACAGCGCTGTCGCCTTGGCAAGCGCCACGGGTCTCGAATACCCCGTGGTTGGTCTGCAACGAAAGGGCAAGACTTCGCCATTTTCATGGAAACTTGTAAGGCTGCAGTATTATGAACAACCGGAAACGCCCGGCGCCGGTTCTTTGCGTAGGTGAGCTGTACTACGGCGAACTGGGGTCCATGGAGCGTAAGGCACCAGCAACCCAAATCCTTGAAGCTTTAATCCCTTATGTCGGCCCAGTCCCAGTACAACCCAGCCCTCCAAAGCTAGAATGAGCGACGAAGAAAAGTCTTGGTTCAATCTCAGCTTCGAACTATCCAATCCGACCACGCTGGGCAATCCGAAAGACTCTGACACCCAGGCTGGGCTGAGCCGGGATGCTTGAGTGGATGGAGCTATGGATGACATTAAAACAGACACAACCCGATGGACGGAAAATACCCTGTCTTTGCCAGTGCGTCGTCAAATTCGGTTGGCAGGAACACCAAGAAGTCCCGGCAGTCGCTGTCATGAATGTCGAGCATGCGGGGAGGATGTCGCTCCGCGCCTGACCGCTACCGGGCATGTATCCTGCATGGCTGTGAAGAACAGTTCCTGCTGGCGGAAAATGACGTGTTTGGTATTCGGGAGGATGCTAAGACCAGCCGCTCGGGGCATGGCAGACAGTACAAGGAAGACACCATGACACCAGGAATCGCAAAACGATCGACAACACGTTCGGCAACAGGGCAACGGCCTCCGTCTTAGCAAACTTTGTCCGACGAAGGTTTACTGCAGCATCCTCACACGCTTGCTGAGGATTGTGCTGAAGCAGTAGAAAGTAGCATGCAGCAGCATGCAGTGGTACAGAGCCTGCGGCGTCTTGGCACTGACACAGGAGGATAAGCTACCAGTAGCAACTTCTTGCCCGCTGTCGTGCAGATCGAAAGCCACGTAACATCGGCCTGGACGCGTAGTGGCCAGTGTGAGGGACGTAGCAGACTGCACATCTGCAGCTGCGGTCGGGGTGCCTCGAGGTGGAGTTGATGACCGCCGGCCTTGTGCGAAACGGTGACGTGCTCGTGCCGACGCTCGGCAGCATCTACACGCCCGCTCGCCCAAGTTGCCCCTCGAGGCGAGGATGGTGACACCCTCTCTGCTTGCAAACATCGAGTCTCTATGTGGCTGTGGTGCGGCGGCACCTGCCAACAAGATCCTCGAGGCTGGGCACCGCGACTGAACGCAGGAAGCCATCCCATTCTAAGTCCCCCATGGCCAGACACGCCACAAAGGTGTAGAGGAAGCGATGCGCCAGGCCAACTGTTTTGTTCTGCACCATCTTGGCTCCCCGATTCTCAGCCCAGCTCCCAGAGCACTGCCCAGACCATCACCCCAGCCCGACCCACCTCCCAAAAAATCGAACCTCATAGGGGCCACGAACCCGAATGCAGA